TATGTTACATGCCAATTATGTCTCAATAAAGCTGGAAAAAGAGACTCCAGTGAGGAAGATAATAACTGTACAGATGAGGAAACTGAGGAGCTGAGAGATCATATGACTAGTCAGAGCTACATGAGTGTTGGATTTGTCTTTGGAATCCATATCTCAGCAAGGCTCAGCAAGTTCTTAACAACTATTCTCTCTTGTTTTGCTGGCCATGTGGACAAGGTGAGGGTGGCTTTAAATATTTCAGACAATTGGGTCTTTGGTCTAAAACTTAGCTCTGCTATTTAATACCAGTGAAAAGGTGTGTGTTTGTCAAGAGTGGTAAAGGAGAGAAGAAAGTTGGTGCTCAAGTAAGTGTGTGTGTTAAGCACCAGTAAGAGGGGATTAAGTAAGATTTATACAGAATCCCGTACCATAGTTTGCACCTTGTAGTCTGCTCCTACCAAAGTATCCCTATAGAAGAAGAGACTGGGGGCGCCTGGGTGGCTCAGTTGGTTAAGTGTCTGCCTTTGGTTCAGGTCATGATGTCAGGGTCCTGGGGTCAAGCTCTGCATGGCGCTCCCTGCCTGTGGGGAGTCTGCTTCTCCCTCTCCCTCTGCACCCCCCTCCCACTTGTGCTTGCACGCTCTCTCTCTCAAATAAATAAAATCTTTTAAAAAAGAGAGATACTGAAACCCCATAACCCCACAGCACTCAAGCAGATTTTGTATCTTGTTCCCTTAATACGTTTGTTTTTATGTAAGAATAACCCAAGTGACCTAACATGACAAAAGTAGATGCTGCAGAATGATGAGTCAGGTTTATTCTGTGTGTTCTGCATATGGCATATTAGCTGGTGACCATGGGGTGTGAGGTGTGGCAGTAGGATGCTAGCTGCCGTTTCCACTACTAGATGATTGGAGAGTCAGTGTAGAACTTTTTCTTTTTTGGAACTTCTTGATTTCCAAGATTGTGAAAGAGTGGACTATTGCACTGTGTGACTGGTAAACTGGAAAATTTTATGGACTGTTATAGTACTTTTATGGAATGTTATAGTGTTTCTTCTAAATAAATTATTCAAAACTTTAAAAAGAGAACATCAAGAAAGCAAATATTAGAGTAGAAAAAATGATTCTGAAAGGCGTATTTTAAAGAACTTACTTGCAAAAATTTTAACACGTTTTTTCTTTTCTTGGTGACTCTTAAAAAACTCTAATTGTCTTAAGTTGAATTTTTACTTAAATATTATCTTTTCTATCAGAGTTACTTTTGTTGTTTTTTTACGCAAGTGACTCCAAAGTTGTTTTTTTTTTACTTATTATAAAAGATACTAACATTTCTTCAGCCAGCATAGTTCTGAGTTTTTAAAAATATTATCATTTTGTATCTAATAGTATTCTGGTTATATTAAGTTGCTTATATGTTGAATAAAATACTTTTCATAGACTTGGAGTGAGGGTGAATATGAACCATGTATTCTTGTGGATATTTTGAGGTAAAATTCATTTTGAGACACATGCTTTGAACGTAATTTGTGCTGTTTATGAGGTGTTTTCCAGCAAGTAAAATATAATTCTGATAGCCTGTTGTAAATATAAATTCTAAACCAAAGTTTTTAATACACTGCAGATTACCTTCCTTCAGTGGTTTTCCGGTTTAAATTAACTTACGACCAGTCACCGTATTGTTCAGGTCCTGATTACAAATCCATATCAAAAGAAAATTGAATAGACTCCTCTTTCTTCATTGACTTTAATTTAAAACTCAATTCATTTAGGATGCACAAAGTTACAGATTTGAAAAGTTTGATAAATCCACTTGAATTGTAATATTAAAATATGTCCATGGGTTTTGTGTTTGGGGACCACCCTGCTGTGCTTTACTCTCTGTGGTGTAAGACTTGGCCATTGTATTAGTGTGGTATTTTCTCTCCATTCACTAAAATCTGCGTTTTTTTCATAGGGTTGCTTATTTGGTATAATGTTTTATTTTCTATTTATGTATAATAAATATTAACCATACACAGAGGGCTGCATCAAATGACCATATAGGGCAAAATGATTCCTTTTATTCCAATTGGTACTGTAGGGAATGATAGTATTTCTCTCTCTCTTTTTTTTTTTTTTCCTTTTTTCTTTTTTTTTTTTCAAGATTTTATTTATTTATTTGAGAGAGAGAGAATGAGAGAGAGCATGAGAGGGGAGAGGGTCAGAGGGAGAAGCAGACTCCCCACTGAGCGGGGAGCCCGATGTGGGACTCGATCCTGGGACTCCAGGATCATGACCTGAGCTGAAGGCAGTTGCTTAACCAACTGAGCCACCCAGGTGCCCTTTTTTTCTTTTTTAGAGAGGGAGAGAGTGCACGCGAGTGTGGAGGCATGGTGGGGGGCGGGAGGGGCAGAGGGAGAGGGAGAGAGAGAATCTTAAGCAGCCTCCATGTCCATGATGGAGCCCACTCTCACAATCCTGAGATCATGACCTGAGCGAAATCAAGAGTCAGATGCTTAACCAACTGAGCCACCCAGGCGCCCTTGGAATGATAGTATTTCTGTTGTTTCCTTTGGCATGTACTTTTAAAATTTCCAGCTATTTAAAAAATTCAGATGCAGATGCTTAAGCAGAATATACTACTTTTTGCAGGTGGTTCCTTATACCCTAATGGCTCTTTCCTGGCTGATTGATCTGTTTCCTTCTGATGATCACATACTCCATGGTGGCATCAATAAAGTCTTACTTACTTTATTTTTTTTCTTTTTCTTTTTTAAATTTAAATTCAATTAGCCAACAAATATTAATCATTAGTTTTTGATGTAGTGTTCACTGAATTATTACTTGCATATAATATACCCAGTGCTCATCACATCACATGCCCTCCTTAATGCCCATCACCCAGTTACCCCATCCCCCCACCCACCTCCCTTTCCTCAACCCTCAGTTTGTTTTCCGGAGCCAGGAGTCTCTCACGGTTTGTCTCCCTCTCTGATTTCTTCCCATTCAGTTTCCCCTATGATCCGCTGCGCTATTCCTTGTGTTCCACATATGAGTGAAACCATATAATAGCTGTCTCTCTGATTGACTTATTTCACTTAGCATAATACCCTCCAGTTCCATCTGTGTCGGTGTAAATGGTAGGTATTCATCCTTTCTGATGACTGAATAATATTCCATTGTATATATGAATCACATCTTCTTTATCCATTCATCTGTTCAAGGGCATCTCGGCTCCTTCCACAGTTTGGCTGTTGTGGACATTGCTGCTATCAACATTGGGGTGCATGTGCCCCTTTTTTTCACTACATCTGTATCTTTGGGGTAAATACCCAGTCATGCAATTGCTGGGTCATAGGGTAGCTCTACTTTTAACGTCCTGAGGAACTGACATACTGTTTTCCAGAGTGCTGTACCAGCTTGCATTCCCACCAAAAGTGTAAGAGGGTTCCCCTTTCTCCACATCCTCACCAACATTTGTTGTTCCCTGTCTTGTTAATTTTAGCCATTCTAACTGGTGTAAGGTGGTATCTCATTGTGGTTTTGATTTACTTTAAAAATATTCTGTGAAACACTTCTATGAGGTTAAAATGGTTCATGGTTAGTTAATGAGTACTAGTAGTCCTTTTGTCAAATTGGTCACATGCTTGAGCTGTTTGCATGTAGTGAGCTACAGAGTTAGATAAGTAACATTTCCAGTGGCTTTCTCTTCATTTTGGCAGTGGAGGAGTTAAACAGCATCTGTTCTTCACCTTGTTTTTCTGGTGAGTTCTGTTTTCCTTCTGGGTTCTCTCTCTAGGATTCTCCTCTGTCTTTTCCAGGTGTCTATTTCCCTTCTTGCTTTCCCACTCGATTTGGCATGGTGATGTTTGTCTCTGAGTGAGTAAGGTGAAGAGCAGGGCATTATGCATGTTCATTTTCCTGTAGCTTGCATAGCTAAATGAATGAGTCTGCCTCAGACAAAGTGCAGGAATGAAGTCAGTGGTGGAGAAAACAACTATATTTTGGTCCATGATATACTGTTGAGTGAAAGGGTTGCTGCATGTTAAGCTTCCTCACTTAAAGGACTCCTCAAAACACTGCTCCAATACAGACTGGTGGGGTAGGTTTCCAAGCATTTGACCAGAGCTGTCCAGGAATTTGGTTCAGGAAACTGGTAGCAGCTAACCTTTTTTTTTTTTTTTTTTAAGTTTTTATTTAAATTCCAGTTAGTTAACATACAGTGTAATATAAGTTTCAAGTGTACAGTATAGTGATCCAACACTTCTCATCACAACAAATGCCCTCCTTAATCCCCATCACCCATTTCACCCATCCCCCTCACCCACCTCTCCTCTGGTAACCATTAGTTTGCTTTCTGTAGGTAGGTTAAGAGTCATTTCTTGGTTTGCCCCTCTCTCTCTTTTTTTCCCCCTTTGCTTGCTTGTTTTGTTTCTTAAATTCCATGTATGAGTGAAATTTACCCAAAGAATACAAAAATACTAATTCAAAGGGATAAATACACCCCTGTGTTTATAGCAGCATTATCTACAGTAGCAATTAACTGTATTAAATTGATCAGAAAGAAACACAGAAAGGTGAGAAACTGCTGTTTCTTCTCTTTGCCAGGCATTGGGACAAGTGCATCTGGAATGATTGCTTCTAGGAGTCTTTTTAAAATGAGAGATTTCTCTATTAAAATGTGTATTTACCTTTCCTAACCATCTTTATTGTTTTGTCCATTTATCAGATATTAGGCAGATTGAATTAAAATTTGTAAGTTGAAATTTGTAAGGCTTAGTAATTTTATATGTTATAAAAACAATTCTTGGTAGCTCTTTTTGTAATGAAGGTCAGCCTTTAGTGATATAAATATGTATCCCTTAGCTTTTAAGAATTCTGACTCTAATTTTTAGTACCAGGGTTTTTTTGATGATGGAGTTGGTTTATATTTGCATAAAACTCATTCTGTGAGAATACTAGAACATAAGCTTTAAAAAATCTATCTGAAATTTTATCATAATTGGCAAATTACTACTTATTTTTGTTGTTTCCATTTAGGTTTTTTCCCAAGCAGTTCTCAAGGGTGTGATGCATTTCTTCGCCATAAGATGACACTGATCTCTCCCTCAGTATTGAAGAAGTATGGCATTCCCTTTGACAAGGTATATTAGTGTTATTCTTTAACATTCATTTTGTGTGTGTAGTATTTTTATGTAAGACAAATTTAACACAAACTAATATATCCTTGACTTCAAATAGGGTTTTTAGGATGTGGGGAGAAAAATTCAGATTCTTGTTTTATAACATAACAATTATTTATCTAAATACTCATTTGAAATTTTATTTATGGATACATTTAAAATAATTTCATGCTGGTTATAGTTCACTTATAACAATAGTGAAAGTAAAATGCAGGACATTCAACAAAGTAAGATGTAGCACTTCTACATTAAAGTCTTTTATATGAACAATATAATTATATATATATGTGATCTATTTTTTTTTAAAAGGAATTCAGAACAGGGGCATCTGGGTGGCTCAGTTGGTTAAGCATCTGACTATGGCTCAGGTCATGATCTCAGAGTCCTGGGATCGAGCCCCTCGGTAGGCTCTGCACTCAGCGGGGAGTCTGCATGTCTCTCTGCCCCTCCCTCCACTTTTGCGCGCTCTCTCTCTTTCTCTCAAATAAATATAAGTCTTAAAAAAAAAGAACTCAGAACAATTATTAGTTTGGTTGGAGTCAGTTTTTATGATACCAGTATGTTTCTTCTAAACATATTCAGACATAATACAATTGAGAGTTCATTATGGATAAAATTGCCAGATGATTTAATAATCAGATATTGCTTCTTTGGAATATTTCTGAAGATTAAGTTCTGTAAGACTCACTACATACTAGGTTCCTCTTTCTTTGTGCCCATGGGTATTTACTGGGTCAGAATTATTATGGAGCATGAGGACTTTTATGTGAAGAAGCTAAAATGACAAAAAGCTTTTGACCAGATAAATAAAGGCTCCCTCTCAGAGGAGGATTTAGTAATTAGCTACTTGTAGAAACATTAATAAATAGCTGTACTCTCTTCTTCATCTTTTTTTTCTTCATTTTTAATTTGACTTTTCTTCCCGTAATATTTGCTGTTTTTCACCTCAGAAGTTTTTCACTTGTGCCTAAATCTTTACCTCTTCTTCATCTCGGACGCTTAAAGTGCATCCCACCCCCCACCCCCAGCTTTGTTCAAAGTAGAAGTTTTTCAAGGACCAAGAGTCATTCTCCAACTTGAGGTGGTCCCTGCTCACTCACAAACTGTCCTTGCTGTATTCATGCATGAGATGAGACACATTTTCTTGTGTGCAGGGATGCTCTCACCACTGTTTTACTCACATAGTCTTAGCCATGACACAAAGTGTGACTTCGAGATGTATACTGTGAGGGATGTGCATGTGTGTGGAGATAAGTTGGTGATGGACTACAGCACTCTCACAGATACAGAGGGCAGGGGCTGTGTCCCCTCCATGGGCCACTGCCACTGTGGGGCTCTGCCTTACTTGCAGATACCTCTAGGCACTGGGCTTTTCAGTCTCAAACACATCATCAGTGAGTGTTTCTTTTAGATGGCTGGCATTAGCTTAATTAGACACTTTTCTTTAAGTTGGAATTTTATTTTATTTTTTTATTAAGATTTTTAGTTTTTTTTTTTAAGATTTTATTTATTTGACAGGATAGAGAGAGTAGGAACACAAGCAGGGTGAATGGGAGAGGGAGAAGCAGGCTTCCCGCTGAGCAGGGAGCCAGATGCGGGGCTGGATCCCAGGACCCTGGGATTATGACCTGAGCCGAAGGCAGACTCTTAACCGACTGAGCCACCCAGGCACCCCTTAAGTTGGAATTTTAGAAGGGAGAGGAGAATGAGTGGACTAGAGTCTCCCAAGGACAGAACATCCTTTATGATTTTAGGGCTGGTGATAGATATTGATCAGGCTGGTCTTTGGAGAGGGGATCATGTGAAATAGCAGACCGTGGGATTGGTTCATTTCCCCAGGATTGGAGGCCTTTGGAGCTTGTAGTTCCTTTCCAAGCTTTGGGGAAAAGGAGGCAGGTGCCCTGCACCCCTTTCTGGGCTGTGGCTTTTCAATACTACTTGGTAAAACCCAATGCACCAGGCTCTCCTTTAGTCTCTTGAGGATGGTACATTTCGTGGCTTCTGAAGACACCACTGCCTCACCATCTGATTGGCAATTGCAGTTTTTTATATGAAATACTGCCACTTCCCCTTCCATGTTGATGAAGAATGTGCGATGACTATGTGCTCCTCAAGGAACTTGTTTTGTGATGATGATAATGTAACACGGGACAGAGTAGTGTAGGCTTCTGAATTAAACTTCCCAAGTTCATTCTTGATTCTGTCATTTGGGGAAATTATATAATTTTTCTGAGCTTCAGTTACTTTAGCTGGAGAACAATGATAATAATAGTACCTACTTAATAGGGCTATTATGAAGATGAAAAGAGATGATCTATAAGAGGGCTTTACATAGTATATGTTATACAGAACACATTCTTTCTCCTTAGTTTGACCCTCTTTTTAGGCAATCATTTCACAGTTGGAGTAACATTTTCTTTCTTTCAATGTATCTGCACATAATCATATATATATATGTTTAATAAACTGATAATGTCTGCTTTTAGATTATGTATATTTCCTTTCCAACTTCTTTTATGATATGGAATTCTTTTCTGTCACTGTGCTTTCTTATCTACGTATTATGCAGAGGCAGTAAGATCAGCCAAAAAATATTTTGGCTAACTGGGACTGACTGTTTCTGATATACAGAAGCATAAAATTTAGAGTCCCTTTCAATGGGAACAGGTACTCTTTTCAACATGGCAAAAGCAGGATTTTCTTTTTTTTTTTTATTATGTTATGTTAATCCCCATACATTACATCATTAGTTTTTGATGTAGTGTTCCATGATTCATTGTTTGCGTATAACACCCAGTGCTCCATGCAGAACGTGCC